AAAAAAAAAAAAAAAAAAAAAAAAAAAAATGTTCATATTTTCATTATTAAAACGTATAACAGATATATATATAAGACTGTGTTTCATACCTTTACATTATTTATACAGGTGTTCAAAAAGTAAAACAAAGGTTTCCATTTTTTTGATAAATCATTAAAATTTATCTCTTTTTTTTTTTCTTATTTAACACTTTGACACGCGTCGCTTCCTTATACACGGTGCCTGCGACTCGTGCCACCTTTATCATCCGTCGCCCTACTTTGAATATTTGACTGATCAACACCGCGTCCCATACGTCACGGTGCAAAGTCCAGCAAGTGCCGTAAGGCCGACGACGACCCGCCGCAAATGATAAGTGAGTCTTCCACCCGTTATGAAAACGACAACGAACCGACACGCACCCGCGCACCAACACCACCAACGCTGCTAACTTTTTGACGCCGAGGATCTTGCCGGACATTGAGTTGTCGACGCCAGCGAAAGTGATATTAAGCGAAGATTATTATTACTGTGTTCGTCTTTTCGGTTTGTTTGTCTTTTTTTAAATTAACCTGTTGTTGCTCATTAATAAACGGCCCACGGGTCTCTACCCTCAAAACTAGTGTCGACTACATTATTGTGACGTAAGTCGCGTCAATTTTGAATAACAAAAGTTAAAAGTTTTATATGGTAATGTATTGTCTCTTTATTAAAAATAACATAATTATTCAAAAGTTGTTCAATTAAAGCAGTAGTACAAACATGTAGAGAGATTTATTGAATTATATTCAATTACAATCATTCATCTCGAAATGGTTCGCAGCCCTTGAAAATTGTCACAACACTTAATCAATTATTATAATGATGATTCTTTATTTATTTTTATTACTTTAAGCAATTATATATAATTTTTATAATAAAAGGAATACCTTTCTTGGCTCCTTTCGGAGTAACTGTTGTACAATAATAAAACCTCCTAATATCTCGCAAAGTAATTCAATTTATTATCAATACAGCTTTAACAGTGATTTATATAATTCAATTTATACAGACAATAAATAAATTAATACAGTATACAAATATCACCTAAACAATACATGAATATTATCAATACTTTCTAGTTTTTTGATGTTGAGTATATTCCGTAACAAAAAACCTAATATATTTCTGAATGCTAAAAAAAAAATAAAAAAAAATATCATTAAAAATAATTAGATTTCAGTTTTTTATTTAATGCATAGCATAATTCTACTTAAAAATTAATAAAATAACTTTATATCAGCTATAATATTTTCGACAGTCATTTTATGTTATAACGATTATCACATTTAGATGCTGTCAAAAAGATTTTTTGGTGCGAAAATTTGTTATTATAATAGTATTATTCTTTTTGCTATCGTAATCGCATATGTATAAAAATCTAAGAAAAACATATAATATTATACAGAAATGACTTATATAAAAATTTATGATGAACATGTATTATTATAATTAACTGGAGAAAAAAGGATAAGGTCCAAAAATAATGTTTATTTATTGTTGTTATATTTGAGTAATAATATTTGTTAAAATAAATTGGGTAACGAATCAAAAATTATCATACAAATGTATCACAAATATCAGATGGAATTAAGAAGTAATAAGATCAAATCAAAAAGTGAAATTTCATGATGCTTGATGACACATGGTTCCATTTGGTTGGTTAAAAAAATGTTGAAAGACAATAAATTGGCCTTTCATAAGTAGTAAAACTCTTAATATCATACGTAATATTTATTTTACCTTCCATACTGATAACTTGTGCGCCTTCACCTTCAAAATGATTCATTAATTTAATAAGACTTGTGTTAGTGTATTCGAGTTTAATTATTTTATTTAAAGCTATTTTTAATTTCTTTAAAGTCATCTCATTTACATTGTTCGAATAAATTTTAAAATGATTTTCAAATTTTTCTTCATAAATACGGATACAAAGTGTCGCTATTTTCTTAAATTGATCGAAATTCATTAATCCGTCTACTAAATGAAATAAAATTTAAGTGTTAATAATTCATTTTTATTTAAAAGTAAAATGTTATGACTAATAATAATTACATTCATAATTATCATTGACTGAAATTTTTAATGACACTTAATTTAATTAATTTATTATAATATTTTAAATAATAATTTATACATGATTTAGATTTTTATATTATTTGAAAATTAAATAATACTTCCTAAATCTTAAGTTATATAAAAAATATTAGTATTGTTTGAAGTGAATATATCAAAACATTTCAAAATTCTACGAATATTAATATATATCACAACTTAAATTTATCAAATATTTGTATTGAAATAGAATTATTTATTATTTATTCCTCAACTTAATTGTTATTATGATTCAAAACAAAATATAAGTCGCTCTTTTGGGAATATCTCAATTTCGTAACCAGAAAAAATAAATGTTTTCATCAGAATTGTATTTAGAATTTTGATACCCCAGGTAAAGTCTTATTATTTGTAAATGTTTATTGATTGATTTTTGTATAATTTATAAATTGCACAGAAAAATAATTGTTATGTATATGTGTGTATTTGTCGAATTGCTATTCATTTTAATCGTGTTATCTCACTTGTTGATTTTCATGTAATTTATAAAGTGACGAATTTGCAAGGAATCCATGAAGCCCAGTCTAAATAAATTCATGTTAGCGGGGGAAATGGAGGGGCGAATTACTCTTTGTTCTAAAAGCTATCTTCACCACTATACAAAATTTTTAAATATGATAATAACAAGATAACTTAGTCATTTCGTTAATTTTACAGCAGGATATTGCGTATTGAAAAATGTAAAAATAAAAAACAGTGCACAGTCAGGATTTCAAATTCAACAGTGAAAAAAACACGTTCTGATAACAGATTGTAAGGTTCCTGGTTAGAAATAAGCTGCGATTAACTTTATTTTATGTTGAAAAGTGTTGATATTTTATTACAGTTGTCAGACAAGTAACAAATTTTCGGCGGTTCATATTGGTTTTTTCTATCCGTTAGCTTTCTTTTTACAAGTCGTAGTTTAACGCCTGTTAAAGGGAGTGCTTCATTTAAATATAAGTACTGAAGAATAAAATTTTTCTATTGGCTATTTAAATATATATTATGAATTTATTATTTTCTCCTAAATCATTTTAGAGAAAATAGAATCATGATGTCTTTTATAGCCATATTGTATCATGATTTATTTCCGGTAAAATTCTTTATTTGATCATGATTTATGTGTTTTTTTTAAATAACGGCATAGCATAATGATGAAATTTAATCAGCAATAATATTTCTTCTTAAAAATTATGTGTTTCTATGGATTTTTAAAAGTATACAATTCTGTTTTCTTATGAGATTCAACTTATTTTAAAATACTAATGTTTTTCAATAACAATAAAAGTATCACTTTAAAAAATAGATATTTTTCAAAAAAATTACTAATTCGCGTTAGAATCTATTCATTTTATCTCTAATTATCTTATTATTAAACCAATTTTTAACATTTTTTTTTTCAACGAAAGTATTCGGACATGAAACTCCCGGAAAATATTGTTGAAGGTCAGCAAAATATTCTATAACATTTTTACCACCAAAATGAAAAAAATTAAATGCCCTCTAAAAATAATTTCTGAATACATCCAAGAGGGTGTAAAAAACCTTAGTAAATACCTTATTAAAAATGTCAAACTTATACCCAATACATTTTACTATCATTTCTTTTTGAATTTTCCTGATTTTAATAACTAAATTGAAAGGCTACAAATATTATAAAAAAATTGAATTAATTGGTCACAACGGAAAATTTGTAACTTTCATGGTGCATTGAAAAATACATAAAGAAAAGTTAGCCAATCCACTGGGCGAGACAATGTATTGTCGGACCGCAGTAGGATTAAAAAAAAAAATATTGTAACTGAAAGCAATTTAAGATAAAAAAAAATAAAAAAGTTGTATTTGATGTCTATTGAGTCGTTGATAGTTTATGTACACCAGTACCTCGTGACAGATGTCACATAACCATGATGATCAGGGATGACCTTATACAAGGCCGTTGCCCTTACCTTATAAACTAGGGGGAGTTGATTTTTGAAAAGAAGAAAAATAAAAAATCACACGAGCCCATTGAGTTAAAGTTAAATTAATGGTACTTTATTAAGTAAAAAAAGAAATTAAGTTAATACGAGGCAAAAAACCAAACGGTCAAAAAACCTCATCTATAAATTAAAGGGGAACAGAGAGAAAAAAACAAATTTTAATAAAAAAAAATAGTTACACCTACACTTTTACAATAAGATAATACAATTGAATCGGTGAGTGGAAGAACAGTACTAGTCCAAAAAGTGAAATTTGAGATAATCAAGTTTTTAAGTTAAAAAATTCTGTTTACAGTAACTTATAGACTTTAGAAGCCAGGAAATTTTGTAGCTGTTTTTACAAAGTTCCTAATAGCTTGTTATTACAATCACTGGTCATAAAAATTTTTTTTTTTATTTTAAAACAATTTAAAAATATCATTGGACAAGTACTGTTTTTCATCTTAATTATGTTTTTGTTTATAATTTCCCTGTTAACTTCTTTTAAATTAAAATTAAAATAATATAAAATAGTAGGAATAGTTAAAACATAATAGTAACACTTTATTGTTTAGTAACTTAAGCTTTTTTAACTTCATTTGGGCTTTTTCTTGCTTGCCCTTCGTGATACACGTAACACTAGGCCTGTATTTTCTTTTAAACCATGAATTTCAAAGGTATTTACCCACAGTTGACGATAATAAAATACCTCTTGAACAGGTATATTAGGTAAAGGAAGGTTTTGCATAACATCGAAACATATTGCTACCACACTAGGATTTTCCTTACATAGATTCTCAACTTCTTTAAGTTTATTATACAACTTATTGGCACGTTTTTTGTGGATTAAATACTGGGCTGCTGCTACTCTCTTTGCATTATCATTTAAGTTTTTATCCCGGATTCTTGATCCCAAGTTCTCACACTCTGAACATACGTCCACTTAAGGTCGACGAAAGCTGAAGTTATAATTTTCTTGAAAAAACTTTAGGTAGTACTCATATTTTATTTTATTTTCAAGATCTGGGTGCTTTTTAATAAACAATCTGTGCATTTCTTTAGTATTTAAGGTACAAGGCAAATACCGTAAAGGTTTAGAAGAATAATGAGACGTTTCCAGCGGAAATGATACAATGTGTTCCTTAATCTTTACAATGAATTCGTCTTTTATCTTGGACGGTCGATTGTTATGCTTTCCACGTCCATCTTAAGGTGATATACCAGATAACAAAATACTTGTTAATCTTTGCACTTGAATATGTGATATAGCATGCAAGCTCATAAAAGCCTGTTTGCAAAAAGATATACGTAATTCGTTCTTTTTGACAAAGTACGCAAAATTACTCGCCCTTGGTTTTGCTTTTGCTCCACCAATCTCAGACCTTTGGCGGCGTCTAATCACAGATTTTGTTTCGATCAGCCCGAGTAAAAAAGTATCAAATTCATTTTTCGGTTTTCCATCATATAAATTATGAATTATTTTTTTTTTCGTCATTGGAAAACGTAATCATACATTTGCGTCTGCAAACACAATTAGGACCAGTAATTTTAGAAGTAATTAGATTACCTGATACTGAAGTATAAGAAGCTCCATTTTGACAAGCGATCTTAATTTTTTGACGTTTCCATGTTTGAGGATAAACTTAGCGTTTCTTTCCTATCTTTGGTGTTTCATTTTCTTCATCTGACGCAGTGTCAGAGTCAGTCATTTTTATTTCACAAAAACGTTTAAACAAAAAAACAAAACAAAATATGTACTCATAAAAAAATATTATTAATATTGCAAAACATTCACACCACAACAATAACGATAACCATAGAGATAAATAAATGATAATAAAAACACTGTTTTTCCACTCATCAAAATAATAAATATACCTGTAGCAAGTGAAAAAAGGTTGATCTAGTAATATTTTTACACTCAATACTTAGATCTAAATTAAATGAGTTTATTCGTAAAAAAAAAACGAAATATCGAATTTTGGACTAGTACTGTTCTTCCACTCACCGATTCAATTGTATTCTCTAATTCATTAATGAACGTCTTTGGGTACCCACCGGCTATTAATCGCAGCATTACCGCTAAGCACGATGGGTATACGCCCTAAGTAAGTGATTGGTCTTAAGCAATTAGACTTTGCTTACAAGACGTTGGGACACCTCGGAATAAAATGCACTACGTCACCACATTGTACTAATTATGTATACATCACTCAATATAATATGAAATAAAATCTATGTATATATATAAATAATAATCACAAAAAAATATATAACACGACAGGTGGTCTTGAAACACGCCTGCCATGTTGCAAGACCTAAATAATAAAATAAAAAAAATAAGGACACCTAACAAAAAACATTTAATAAAAAAATTCGCCACCCGTGCTTATGGCACGGCGTACTAAAGAAAATATTCTGGCTCAAAACATGAAATAATAAATATACATTACTAGCTCCGAAGTGCTAAAGAATAGGGGCAGGTTCAGCCAACGCCATAAAATTTAAAAAAATTACTTACTTAATATAGCGGGCACTCTCGAAAAATAAATATAGTTTAAAAACTAAAAAACACGCTTTTAAAGCACATCGAACTAAACAATTATTTTTAACTTTTTAGTTCGATGTGCTTAAAAGCGTGTGTTTTAGTTTTTTAAACTATATTTATTTTTGACATCGCTGTCACAGTCAGTCACGGAGTGTTTATTGTCAAATATGACTATCAATAGATATAATTTATGTATTGGCAGTTTGTGTATTTATAAATTCACAATGTGTCTTACTACTATTAATACAAAGGCTATATACCTGCGAATATCGTCATAAAAAATCAATTAGCTACCTGTATTTGTAATCCCTTTTGTATTATACATGTATATTAACTCAAAAAAAATTGAACCATTAAATGTTTATATCTCATAATAAACAATAAAAATTTGTTTATATATAAATATAATATTAATTATACGCATGCATGTACGCAATGGCGAACTTAGGTATGTGGTGGCTCCTGGGCGGAATGCATTGTGGGGGCCCCTTATACGTAAACAAGGAAATATATTTTTTTACTTATTTAATAACAATTATTATCATATTTGTGATACCAATTTATAACAAATTTGTGGGGGCCCTGGGCTGCAGCCCATTCAGCCCTCCCTTAAATCCGGCCCTGCCTGTACGGGTACGAAAACCAAAAATATAATAATATCGAATAGTGTTATCAGCGATTGATGAGCGGGGTGAGGTGAATGCGTTACGATAGTCTAGTCTCAAGACCCTTATTTGGCGACGGGATACGCGAGTATAATAACACGTGGCGCTTGGAGAGTTATAAACTTACAACAAACAAACAACATACATGTGAAACTAATATAAGCGTGTTAAAAAAACAGTTGCAGTGAACACAACGAAAAATCACGATCGCTACGGACAAAAACTAACCAGCAACCAGTGGCGACAATGGCTAATTTCCGACAAAACGTCTGGCGTTTGACCCGGTGGTCCGTTGGCGACAACACGGCTAGCCTTTAGAGTAGGAGTAAAAAAAAAATGAAATGCCCAGTGCTGGAAATTATTAAGACTAATTCGAAACATCAGAGGACAATATATGTGGTGGGCAGTGCAAATGACGTTCAAGATAGGAAAGGAACGGGGTGAGTGTACACACAAATGCCGTCCATGATACTTTATGTCACGTTACGAAATTTTTAAGAAAATTATTGTTACACTAATTCTGATGTAATATTTTTCCTGCAAAACTTTTTATTGTGCCCGGCGTAGTCGGGTACTCCTACCTGAATCAGTGACCTACTTAAGAGGCTTACTCACTGAATGCGTGTGAGGTTCACAGTGTCCCAGCTAGGCAAAGCCTAGTATTAAAAATAAAACAAATCACGAAAATTTAGAACAAATTTAATGGAAAAATATAATTATTATAATCAAATTATATTGCTTGTAACAAATTAAGCATTAATATACATAAATAAAGATTACATGTATTTATAAGATTTCAATCTTAAAAAACCCAGCACAGGGGGGTCGCGGCACAGTGGTGACGTGGCATAGTTGGATCAAGTATAATGATATCTGACAGTGATTAAAATCACTATCAAAAATAAACGCTTCAATGCAAATCTTTAGATAGTGTTTAATTTTAAAAAAATTGATGTTTTATTCCAAAAGTTACTTGATCTGCTGGTTCCTTATTAATATCTCGATTAAGATAAAGTATGTCGAATGAAAAATGGTTTATTAAAAAATATTATTTCTCATAAAAAAATTGTGTGGATCCATAAACTTTTCAATAAGTTATAGCATTATAAAGTTAAATATAATATAAATAATAAAATCGAGAATTTTCACACGAAAATAGCATTCGGTAGCCATTTTCGCCGTGAAGACAAGTCAAGAGGTCAAATTTTTTTTTTCCATAGTAAAGTATATTCATTAGCTTTAATTTAAGATATATATAAAAGTGTTAGACCTTCCGGAACATTTTCAAAAGTTAAGTTGAAAAAGTTAATTTTTTGTGAAAAAGTTGTCATTTTAAATACCCCCGTGGGCAGGTTAAGTGTCAAATTTACAAAAAAAATATACCAAATGAAAGGTAAAGACATCAAGCATCTATAAAAAAAAAATTATATTCAAATGTTTATTTTTGAAAAAGTTACGGCAGTTTTTAGTAAAAGAAATTGAACAAATTTCGGAAATTAGCGATTTTTAAATTTGTAATTTTTTTGGAGGTTTCCCCCATTTACGGGGAACGAGGGAAATTTTTTCAATTTTGAAGGGTAATGTCTTCGACTAGATACGATTTGTGATCTTTTGACGTATCGTTGAAAGAAATCCGTTCGGTGAGAGCTGAGAAAAAGTGGTAACAGACACAAAAAAAAAAAAAAACACATCATAGTAAAACCAATACCTTCTCAGCTTCGCATCGAAGCTAACAATGTGAAATAAAACCTCATATTTATATGTCTAATCAAAATATTGTTGTATCTATTTCCTTGAAAGACACAGCGAAAAAATAGGAAAATACATTAATTTCACAAATTAAGTTATAATAGTATTTGTTGAAAATAAAATTCAACTTGTATATCATAATTAAAGTTTTACTTACTGTCTCTAGTTAGTCTTATGAATAATATTTCGATTGTTTCATGAGGTATTTTTTGTACCCAATCCAATTCTTTCAGCATATTTGCAAATTCTTCCAATTTCATACCTTTTGTATCTTTTTTATTAACATTAAAATAATTCATCAATTGAGGTAATGCTGAACCAATTAATTCTTTATTCTGAAATTAATTAGACGACATTATAGGTAATAATAATATGGCCATAAATTCTTCAGATTTAGTTATAAAAATTCAGTAAGTGAGGTCGCAATACAATAAGTTGTGGTATAGTTGAGATAAGTATAATTGATATCTGACAGTGATTAAAATCATTTTTATAAAAAACTGTATAACGCAAATCTGTCATTAGTGTTCAAGTTTTAGAAGAAATTGTTAAATTACCATTGTTTCTTAAATGTATGCACCTTTATGGTTTTATAACAAAATCCAACTTAATTTAAAATACCGAAGTTTTCTATAAACTAGTTATAAAAATTTAATATAAAAAAAAATTTCCCACAAGTATTTTCCTGAAAAAATTAGGTTTTGCTTTAGAATCTATTTATTTTATTTAAGGTGACAAAGTTTAGAAACTTAAAAGAGAATACTGTAAGAAGTTTTAGAGTATTAGCAATAAGTATACAAATATCATATGTCTTTTAACGTGGGTTTTAAGTTTTTTAAATTGTTAGTTTGTTCAAATCATTTTATTATTATTGATTGGTAATAGTGTTTTCAGTAAAAAAACAATCATTCGTATAATTTAAAATTACCCCACCTAAAAAAAATGTGATTGTGCCATAGATGAACACTATAATTAAATAAAAAGCACGACCTCTAGAATCGAGTGTATTTTAAGTCTATAAGAAGTTGAAAACGAATTTAATGAACAATATAAATATTATAATAAAATTGAATTGCTTGTAACAAAATAAGCATTAATATCCATAATTAATGATTAAATATATTTATAAGTTTCAAAGCGTAAACAATGTAAAATAAGACTTCATATTTAAATTTTAAATCGACATGTTGTATCTATTTCCTTGGACAATACAACGAAAAAATATACATTTAATACATTAAATGTTAATTAATAAATAGGAAACAAAAATATTCAATTAACTGCAACGTTTTTTTTATGTCCTAATAAAATAAAATTAAAATTTTTATTATAAAATAAATCAAATAATGTCATTGATGCTGTAAATTTGTTAAAATTTTATCATTAATACTAGAACAGGAATATTAAATATAAATATTTTATATTTTATATTATATAATACAAAAATAATATATTAAATAAAATAATATGTTCTCTGAAAATCAATGTTACTCTGTGTTATAAACTTGTGAATTTAATTAATTTCAGTTTTGAAAGTTTTTTCAATTGAATATATGTTAAAAGTCAAAAGAGCAACAAATTTTTTATACTAGAAAATATTCTAAGGTGGCCTAATAAAATGTTGAATACAGTAAGAAATAACCTTAATTCTAACGTTTTCTTCAGTGATTTTTATTTATATCACTAAACAATTAGTTGAATAAATTATAATACAATAATTATTGTTTATTTAAAATCAAATCATAAAATTTTTGAAAATAGAACTTAATGAAAGAACCCCAATATTGTGTAATAGTTCTTTAGTCGGGACATTGTCCTGTTGCACCTAATATTATTTAGAAAAAACCAGTATAGTTTGAACAAGTATAGTTGATATAGATGAAAGCAAAAGTTTTTTTTTAATTTATCACTTATACAAAGGTCAAATTCGATGCGAAGCTTTATACATTCAAAATGACAATTTTTGTATTTAAGTTAACTTATTCAACTGAAGTTTTGAAAATGATCTGTTAATGAAATGTATAGTTTATATAGTGCATGAAAGTAGCAGAGGGGTTAGCTTATCGTTGCTATACTAGTTGTGTCACCAATATGGATGATAATACAAGTTAGTTGAACTTTTACCGTCTCCGTACGGATTACCCGCGATATTCTTGTATTACTAATTTTGTTATAAACATAATATATATATATTTACTCACTCATTATATATTAAACCTTGACGTCCTGGTTCTTTATTATTGAGTATTTTATAGATTCTAAAGTATTATTACAGTTCAGGTGTGGGATAAACGCGTGGATAACGAGTGGAGGGTTAGTTCGATAATTACGCAGTTTAGTGTTCAAAAATTTTTCCCCAAAAACCAACTCTAACTTGTTTTAAATGTCCATCCCCTGGTCACAGAGTATGAGATTGTCATGTGAGGAGAAATACAAGTACAATTGCAACGACCCTAAGTACCTCTTAAATGACTATGACAAAGCAATATAATAATAGAGAAGTGCTTCAAGTTGGACATGCAGGTGCACAGTCTAAGTACTTTAAAGACGCTGTCATAAACGGTACTACAGTTGAAGTATACGTCGACATGGGAGTAGCGTGTGTCGTATGCCTTTGAAAGATGTCAATAATCTGTTAATTGACTACGATGCTCAAGTAACAGATGAATTTGTTGGATATGGATTTGGTAAAGTTCATTCGTTAGGTCGTTTTGAGGAAAATATATCTATTGATGGAGTAGTAGCAAGAATGCCTGTTAATGTAGTGCCCGATGACCGAAAAATAATGTTGGACATATATCAGCTGGTACAAGTTTACCGAAAAATGTGTAAAAAAGTAGGACTCCGTACTTCAAAAAAATTGGTCCCTCCATGTTTAGTTTCGACTGACGAACAAGTGTGTAATATTATATTATTACATATAATATTAACATATAATATGATGTTATCATTTGTACATGTATGCCACATTTTATGATTATACAAGATCACCAAAACGGGGTTCTCTTATTTAAAATACAAAATAACCCTTTAATTGTGCGATAAAATCTCCCTCTTGTAAAAATTATTAAGTAACGCCTACACGCAGGAACCCCATTTTAATTAACCAATTAGAATACTAACCCTCAGCTTCCAGGGTCACGGTAGAGATCGCTGGCCTACCCCCTTCAGACTATAAAAAGCCATTTTTCCCTATCTAAACCAGTTTTTTTTAACGGTTTTAAAATACAAAAAATCTACGATACTCTACTCAAAATTTCAGTCTCCGGGACTTAGTCATTTTCTTTAATTAATTTGGGCTTAGAATATTTTTCTTTAAAACTAAAAGACACTTAGAAATTTTAAAGTGAATTTAGTTTTGGTGAATCTTTTAATTTAATTTAATTTGTTCAATCATTAATAAAATTTTATTTTTCTTGTTGTGAGAATAAATATCAAATAATATTTTAAACATTACATCTTCTTAAAATTATTTTATTTTAATAACTAATCCAACCTAACCTTAGATTTTTATTTAATAATAAAAATTTATTGTGAGCTTTTCTTACTGGGTAGATAGTCTCGTTGCTAATGTCTTTGTTTTAACAAACATCGCGCCGGCAGACAACGCAGAGAAACTTACGAATATATTTTTAGTGTTTAATTTTTGTCTTGGTGATTGTTGTGCCGCATCCTTTCAAAGTGCTTTTTAGCGCCGGGACACATTGGCCCACCGCAATTCTACCTTGACAAATCTTTTACATAGATATAAATATTTCTGAATCTTGTTTTGGCCAGGACAGAGGAATATTTAAGAAATATTGGTGTCGATTTCTCGACAAAATATACTCTAAAAAAAATACTTATTCTACAGACGTAAAAAAATTAATAAATAAAAAAATAAAAATTGTATTTATAATAAAATACAGAGTGTTTAGAATCATTCACAAGTAAGAACAAATGTAGACCTTGTGTAATTAAATCATATTATTTAAAGTCTTGAATCGTTTTTATAAGTAACTATATAGACTATATGACGAATAGTGTAAATCGTATACGTAATGCGTTTAATGCGGAAATCAACACTGGATTACTTGAAATATGATTGTATTACATAGGACGTAAGTTAAGTTCAATTTAATCTATTCTATCGAACTTCCAACAATCTATTGCGTGATAAACTATTAATAATTAATGAGAGAAACAATTAATGAGAAAATTAATTTAAATAAAATTGAAGACATTAAATCTACAAAAAAAACTTATAAAATTAATAACAATAATAATATAATAATCTACCAATTTTTAGCCAATTCTTTTCTTTTTCTTTCTTTTTATTTTTGGTTTATTACAAGTGCCTGTGTTGAACTTGCCTAATGAACAATTTGTTTTCAAAAGAGGTGACACAGTTATCGTGGCGTAACCTTCACTGAGTTGTGTAAAAACAAAGTAATGTGTACGTGTGAAGTTAATAATGAACTTGTAACTGCAGACGAAGTTATCACAGACTTAGACGCTGACCAGTTACAAGACATACTGGTAGTGATAAACGAATACCGTGTTCCGATGGCGAGAAGTATACAACAAGTTTGGTGTACATATTTAGCTGATATGAAACTTGATATGAATGTTCATCAGCCTGTGGTGTGTATAGACTATCTTTTTACCACCGAAAGTACGTATTATTACACTTATGTTATCCTGACGAATTATGTTTAATGTATTAAATGGCTGCCGTAGTTAAAAAAAAAATACTACTTTTTTTTACGTACATATTAACTAGCTTATAAAATAATAATGATCTATTCAAGAAAATGACTAGTAGTTTACAGTTTTTATTTCGAAAGTTATAAATATTTAATAAATATTAGTAGTACAATATAGTAAAGTTGAGGAGTGTTATTTTATTTTTATCATTTCTAAGTACTATTTCAAAATTTGTTATTGACCAGTTACTTTCGTAATAAGATAAATATTATTTTATTAGTTAGTTAAAATTACAATACAAAATATTGAATATCACTTTTATGCTAAATTTCATTTTTATAGTATGTGTTTTATTTTATAGATTCAAAGTATATTTATTCAAATATTATAATTATAAATTATCAAGATATGAATAAGAAAATAAAAGTTCACGTTGTTTGGGAATAATTTAATAATTACTTCTAAAAATGAAATACTATCTACAGATTTGATTGAAGTGTTTTTTATAATAGTGATTTTAATCATTGTCAAATATCATTTATACTTGTTCCTACTATGCCGTGACCTCCTGTTCAGGTTTTTTTAAACTCAAGAATCATTCAAATCAGACATAGATATTTGGTACTGTATCTAATTAAATGACTGTATTTATACTGTAGAGAACCCATAATTGTTTTGTAAATATTAATTTTAAGGAATTCATATGTAACATTTTAATTACTAGAAAGTAAGATTTTACTGCCAAATTTATAAACATGCAAAATTATGTTTGAGTATCGTATTACTGACTAATTAATAAATTAATTAAATTAGAAAAATAATTTTAAGTAAAAATATAAATGAGAGCAAAGTATCAGATATTTTATTTTAACAAATTTAAAAATTTTCATAATTTCTACATGTCCAAAATTTATAATTCATGATTTCAACATAGATTATTTTATTTATTTATGCTATTTAAAAAATAATACAAGTTTATATGTTTTTTTTCGGAAAATCGTATATCTAAGTAAGATAGAATAAAAAATAATATGTCTCAATAAACATCTAAATATTCCTCAAAATTAATTTTCTAATTAGAAAACTTTTAACCATTAACTTTTCTTAAAAATTAAATGTTATCTATTTACCTCATCCAAAGGATTGGTCTCAAAAATAAGTCCATTTGAAAAATGATTTGCTACATAAACAACAAAGAAAATGTAAAAATACATTTTTGGATTGATTATCGTTGTATTTGAATAAAAGTGATAACTAAAACTATTATAACAATACTATGGTTTTTTAGCGTTGAAAGGCCATTTTTATATATTTTTTAAATAGCAAACAAAGCGTTTAATAAATTTAATTTTGGTTTTAATATTTAATATTACTATTAATATAAACATTTTATTTATAAATGACAGGTATAAAACCTTAGTAATTTATATAATTATTTTATCGTCATTATTATACTCAAAATACTATAAAAAAACCTCCTTTGTTTGTTTCAATCAACATGAAATACTGAAATTTAAGTTTATAAATAAGCTTTGATATTTTGCAGATGGTTTTCTTTAATAGTTACTAATTTATCATTAAATAGACATAAAAATTTTCTATATTATTAAAAAAAAATGATAAACGTTAATTCTGGTTACTAAATTATGAAACGACAAATGTTTTTTGCACATATATTTACCTATAATTGCGTATCTAAAAATAAAGAAATAAATCATTTACTTTATTTTTTTAGCTTCGATGAGAATCGAGGAGGTATTAATTTTATCATGATATGTTAATTTTTTAATTATCATTTTTTTGTGTTTGTCTACCTTTTCTCAGCTCTCACCGAACTGATTTCTTTCAACGATATGTGAAAAGATCATAAATCGTATCTAGTCGAAGATGTTATTCTCAAAAATTCCCTCGTTCTCCATAAATGGGGGAGAAATCGATCAAAAAATTACAATTTTTAAAATTGGTAAATTTTGACATTTTTAAAATTTTTTTTCTAAAAATGTCCATAGACTATAAATAATTTTTATTATGTTGTAACCATAGGTATTTTTCTTTCATTTGATATAAATTTTTTGAAAATCTGACCCTTTACCTGTTCACAGAAGGAATTCAATATAAAAATTTTTGAATAAAAATAAAAATGTTTTAACTTGAGTTTTGAAAGTTTTCCAGAAATATTGACATTTTTATTTAATCTTTAATATGCTATTTTTGTGTTGAAATTTTTGGTATTGTATTTTAATTAATTTTAATATAACTTATAAGGGGAGTACTCTGATTTTAGTAAATATTATATAAATCTAATTGACATAGTATAGATTGTTATACTTATTTCAATTTAAATTAGCTTGAATTGTCATTTTTATCAACCCTACAAATGGGACGTACGTTTCCAAGTCGGTTTCACGAAATTAAGAAGTTCGAACCACAAGTGGGAATGAATTGGGTGCTACATAAAAAATTTCTCAAAAAAACAATGATTTTTAGTTTTACCTGAATTTAACAATGAATTTTTACAATTATAATCAAATAATATAATACGCTCAATTGAGTAGATCTTTTTTTAACAACATTATTGGTTTTTTTAGATAAATGTAATAAACCAAAAATAAAATAAAATAAAATATAGTGAGTTAGTTTATAGAAAGATTATGGTGAGTGATTAGAAATAAAATGGACTCAAAAATGTAAAGAAAAGGGCGGTAGCTATAGGGAACGAATGATATGATATAAGTTTGAGGGAAACGAATAATGAAGGGTAAAAATGGTGGTGATGTGGATTTTAGTAAGAAGGTGTGAATGATTATATTGTACCAAAAGAAAATTTGAGGGTTGATTCTTAGTCAAAGTAAAGATATAATGTAGCGTATGTATGAATAATAATAAAAATTATTATATAAGATAATAAATGGCGGAGTCACACATGTTATAATGTGGCAAGATATGTAAGGATATAATGATATAAATAAAGAAGAATTCAGAGGGGTGAATAAACGGAGTTGAAATACATGAGGGTAATGATCAAATAAATAAAAATGTACACTAACGTTGTGAAAAAAATAATAAACTGATCTCAGAGTTGAACAATATTGAATAAATGAAGTCAATTATCCTACAAAACTTTATTACTTATCTTAATGGTTTATTACGCAATAGAGTATTTATAATTTGAAAGCGGAAATTTAAATTTGTACTTACCTCGTACCCCACGTAATTTAATGCTTATTTTAGACAATCCAATGTTAATTATGAGTTCACATTGTATTTCACACGTTGTACACTACGAGTTTGACAGTAAATATGACAGTTTGAGAATAAAGCGTTTAATTATAAATAATGCGAAACCGTTACACAAAATCTATGACTATTATTATATGCAGGACACTCTATGTATTTTTATAATTATAATCAAGTAATGTATTCTTAGTTGACTTTGTAGAATGAGTATATTATTCATGAGATTATATTTTATTGATAGATCGACACTAATATTTCTTAAATTTTCCTCTGGCCTGGCCAAAACAAGATTCAGAAATATTTATATCTATGTAAAAAATTTATCAAGGCAGAATTGCGGTGGGCCATTGTGTCCCGACGGTATCGCCTTGAAAGGATGCGGCACAATAATCACCAAGACAAAAATTAAACACTAAAACATATATTCGTAAGTTTCTCTGTGCTGTCTGCCCGCGCGATGTTCGTTAGAACAAAGACATTAAACCTTAAAAGACTAGCTACCCAATAAGTATAGAGTTGCAACACACTTAGTCATATAATAAATATTTACCATTAACTGAGAAAATTAGAGTTGATTCGGTTTTATTATATAAAAAAAATGTTCTGATTTAAAATATTAAATGACATTTATTTCCATAATAAAATAAAACATTATTATTCAATGAACAAATTAAATTAAATTTAAAGATTCACCATAACAAAATTCACTTTAAAATCTCAAAGTGTCATTTAGTTACTAAAAAAATATTCTAATCCCAAATTAATTAAAGAAAATTACTAAGTCCCATAGAGTAAGAACCTTGAGTAGAGTGCCGCAGATTTTGTGTATTTTAAAATCGCCGAAAGAACTGATTTTAATAGGAAAAAATGGGTTTTTATAGTAGACGAGGGTCGTGTAGCGATCCCTAGTGTGATCATAGAAACTGTAGATCTTAATTAATAGTTAAATGTGATTGGCTGGACCTAATTGAGAACCCACACATAGTCGTTACTTTTAATCTGTACGATAATCAGATTTCATTGCCTAATTTATTGATTATTTTAAGTTTTAAATAATGGAACCCTGTTTTGGTGATCTTGTAAATTCATAATATATGACATACATGTACAAAAGATAACATAATATAATATTTTAATATTATAAGTAATAATATATTATTACACCCTTTACCTGTTCACCAGGAGAATTCAATATAAAAATTTTTTAACTTAAGTTTTGATGGTGTTCCAGAAATATTGACATTTTTATTTAATCTTTAATATGCTATTTTTGTGTTAAAATTCTTGGTATTGTATTTTAATTTATTTTAATATAACTTATAAGGGGTGTACACTGATTTTCGTAAATATTATATAAAACTAAACCTTTTCCTCTTTGGGGAAATGCTCGCCGAATTAAACAAAAAATGTAATTTTTATATAAAAATCACCTTTTAAAATATTAATATTTTAATATTTAAACGTGTCATAACTATATTAAATTTGAATTAAATTTAAAGTTATCTTTAAAGGTATTTAACCTAGCAACAACCTTTCCATTGCAACTAATGAAAAATATTTCAGTGAACTGTCTTTGCAAACTTATTAGAATTTAACCTGATCGGAGCGTTTCAGTTATTTACTTTCAATATATATATGTATAAATTTTCATATTTTCATTATTAAAATGGATAAAAATTCTATACAAGACGACGGTGTTTCATACCTTTTCATCATTTTATACAGATATTCAAAAAATAAAAAAGGTTTCCTTTTTTTTTATTTATCATTAAAATTTATCTCTTTTTTACTTATTTAACACTTTGAATAATAAAACATAGAAATTTTATATGGTAATGCATTGTCTCTAAATTAAAAATAACATAATTATTCAAAAGTTGTTCAATTAAAGCAGTAGTACAACCATGTAGAGAAGTTTATAGAATTATATTCAATTACAGTCAACACTTAATCAATTATTATAATGATGATCCTTTATTTATATTTTTACTTTAAGCAATTAAATATAATTTTTATAAGAAAAGAAATACCTATTTTGGCTCCTTTCGGAGGAACATTTATACAATAATAAAACCCCTTAATATCTCGCAAACTATCAATTTATTATCAATACAGCTTTAACAATGATTTATGTAATTAAACTTCACAATCAACAGTAGATTCATTTTCACAATTCTCTTGTTTTAACTTCTTATAGCGTTCATGAAATATAAACGCAAATATATTTCTAAATGCTAAAAAAAAAAATACAAAAAATATCATTAAAAATAACTAAATTTCAATTTTTTATTTAATGCATAGCATAATTCACCTTAAAAATTAATAAAATAACTCTACATAATCTAATTATATTTTTGAAAATCATTATAAGTTATAACGATAATCAAATTTAGATGCTGTCGAAAAGATTTTTTGATGAGAAAATTTGTTACTATAATAGTATTATTTTATTTGCTAACGTAATCGCATATGTATAAAAATCTAAGAAAAACAAATAATATTTTACAAAAATGACTATATATAATTAACAATATAAAAATTTATGATGAACATGTATTGTTATAAGTAAATAGAAGAAAAAAGGGTAAGGTTTAAAAATAATGTTTATTTTTTGCTGTTATATTTGAGTTATAATATTCGTTAAAATAAATTTGAAATTAAATGCTTTTCACTACCAAACATATTCATCTCTTGAAAAAATAAATTGGGTAACGAATTAAAAATTATCTTATAAATGTATCATGAATATCAGTTATAAGTAAAGAGTAATAAGATCGAGTTAGAAAGTGAAATTTCATGATGCTTGATGACACATGGTTCCATTTGGTCGGTTATAAATAAATTCAGTAAATGGAGATGCCATTCACCTTCTTGACAACGGATTAACTATCGATCTTGGAGTTAAAAAAAAATTTTTGAAAGATAATACATTGGCCTTTCATAAGTAGTAAAAGTCTAAATATTATACGTAATATTTATTTTACCTTTCATACTGATAACTTCTGCACCTTCACGTTCAAAATAATACATTAATATAATAAGATTTTCGTCAG